ATAGGAAACTTTCATGATAAAATCCAAATCTTCATGAAAGTACATGTTGTTTCATCCACTCATCCAGAGGAACGTAAGCACATTCCCTAATTAAATAGTATGTATGTAAACAATGTAAGCACATTACTTAAGTTCACATATTGCTGTTATTTGGACAAAACCACAACGACAAAAAAACGTGTCAGTAAGTCTCCTGATGCATGCAAGATTTTGCCATGTTCGTCTTCATGAAGACCACAAGTAATTAGGTCTTATTTCTCGGACATTGTCCTGTGATATATCTAATTTGATCTTCATGACTCTTGACATCATGATTGTCTGATTGGACAGATTGTACCACTCTATGGGTTTTGGTTTAGGTACAAAAAAGCATATATAAACATTGTTATGTATAATGAATTTGTATTGTATGCTTGTCAATAGTTGAGGGTAGGAGTTTGGGCCTACCTGACTAATGTCATGTTTTAGAATTATGTTCAAATGGATTTGAGTTCATGACAATGGTTCCAAGGGATAAACCATTATGTACCTGATGACAGTCTGTACATAAAGAAGACCAGGTAAACAATTATTTTTATTTTTCTTTAGAATCACTGTTAGTTGAGGTATAATTTGAGAAAAAGTGTTTATTAAATTATACATCAGAATTACAAAGCAGTCATTGACATTTTTTAGACTAAAACACTATTTTAAGATTATTGGGAATCTATTCAAAGACATTTATTATTATATCATTGATGAAGAAAAGAAATGAGAAGAAAAAGTAATGTTTTCTGGGTGAAAGTATATTGAAAATTGTTTTTACTAGCCTATATGAGAACTTGATTAAGAGTGAACATCAAGTATGGTATGTAAGACAACAAGATGCCCTGGTTTTTAATAATTATATGTAGTCCTTCCAAATGCATGTTGAGTGTGAATTTAACAAAACCCAAAACCGTATAAAATAACAGCATAAAGTTGCAGTGGAATGCTTAATAATACTTTACCCATCTGTCAAATTTGAGTGCAAAATTACAATGAGTGGCAGTTGTAGTTTTTTTTTAAAATAATTTCCTCTCTTATTAGATTTTGTAGAAAAATATTTTCATTCTCCACCAGAGTAAATATACTTTGATATTTCACAATTTATTTTGGTTAATTTAATTTACTTCAGATACTGTGTTTGAGAGAGAGCGAGAGAGAGAGAGAGATGGCATGCCCCTTCAACTTTCCTCTTGTATACTTACAACTTTAATGTTAAAACAATAACATCAAAAACAATTTTAATATGATTAAGTTTGCTTGCAAACAGGAGCCACACAATTTCAATTGTAATTCTCCCCATGGATTGATGTCTATTAGTTAGGGTTGCTGGAAGATGGGAAGGGAATAAATGTTGATGAAACAAACTAACTTGTTATGAAAACACACAGACTTTTGTTGTCAGTGAATAAAAGTGGGGATATCACATTTTGAGTATAGGATTAAATCAGGTGTTTCTAATTTTAGGTTCAAGAGAAAACAAGTAATATTACCACCATTTGAACATGAATATCGTCATGGTTTTCAGCATATATGTTCAAAGTAAGTAAATAATATTTCTTGTTTGGATATTGTCTTGTATGTTATAATCACGACTTCTAGTATTTTGGAAGAATCTAATAGACCTGCAAGTTGCATTTTTTTTTACCATCTCTTTCATCTTTTAATCTCAAATCTTAAATTGTGTTCAGATCATTTGATTAAGAACTTAGATATGAAGCCAAAAGGTAACATAGTCACAAGTTATAATGAATTTCCATGTTAAATAAGAAAATAGTTTTCAAAACATTTTTTATTGATTAAAACCTAATTTGTGATGCATTTTAAGGATTTTACACATGGCTAAAATAATCTATTCAGAAGTGTTTTAAAGCTGAAATTTTTTTGAAATCATAAATGATAAAGTCATACTCCAGAGAACTAATATACATATATGTGATTATTTGGCTGCATCAGAAATTCACTTATATAAATATAAATAAAATAAATATAAACATTATTTCATTGTCTCTTATACAATCAAACATGTGTAAAGAGGACATTAACAGGGCAACAAATTTTGGGTTGTTTTATGGCAGGGCTTGATTAGTATTAACAGGGCAACAAATTTTGGGTTGTTTTATGGCAGGGCTTGATTAGTATTAAATAGTACTTTTTTGGTACAAAATATCGGTCAAGTTTGTCAAGGTGGCCAGATTACAGAAGGGTTTGTTTGGGGGGAGTTGCACTGTATATAATTAACCACTGCCAATTTTTGTCTTCCCTGTGAAAATAATCATAGAGAAATCATTTTTGTTGGCATCAGCATTTTCAGTATCACAAAGATTTGATTATACTAAAATTATATAAGAGTTTGTCAGGCTTACCTATGCTTTCCTGTCACAGACAAGATACCTGATACCTTGTTTTACCAAATACCTTTACATAAAAATAAATTTCTTTATCCACAGGGATGAAATGAGCATCAAGTCTTTTCATGGAACATTAGTTGTGTTTCTTCAGAATGATTCTGGATTTGCTCGATGGGGTCCAACACCAGAGAGAATAAAGGAATTAATTTTGGCTGCCAAACCAAGAGACATTGTGAATTCTCAAGCCAGTTAGAGGTGTTTAACTTTGCATTCATTCAGGTCATTGTCTTTAGCATCTGTTTCATCCATCTGTTATTGCTGCTTTAAGAGACTATAATGCACAGTAATTTATCTTAAAGCAACTCATTGATTAGATGAATGTTTCTGTCATTGGTTTCAATCACATTAAGGAGGACAAACATAGTATAGTAGTTTTATTAAATGTTCCATGTGATAAATCATTATGTAGCAGTTTGAGTCATGCGTTTAGAAGATGGTACTGGGTATTCATTTTTAATTGAATGATTGAGTTTTGATTGATCTAACATATTTTTTCCCTTTTTTTGTTATTTTCTTTTGCATGCATGCATTCTGGTTCTATGACCAACATTTTCAGTGACCAGAGGTTTGACTCGTTCATGCTATTCCTTTGGTAATCTTTAAGTCCTGAACATTGTATCTATATTTTTGTATGTAGTAAAGATAATAATAGTTTTATGTGTGAATTAAATTTTAAACTGATTATGTAAGTATAGATAGATATGTATCTAATTTTATACGTTAGCAACATTTGTATTTTTAATTCATCATAGAGGTTGGTGTTTATCATGTCATTGTAATTATCATTATATAATATGATTTATTCTGATATATTGTCTATCACAAGAAAGATAACATGAGTCAAAAATATTATGGCTGATTCAATTTGCTTGCTTATCAACAAAAGAAAAGCTCAAGAAGAATCCAAATATCTGGTTACAGTATTGCAAGATAGCAATCTCTACTACCACAGTTTTCATTGGCTTGGACAGATGTCTTTGGCATAATATCCATTCTCATTTACCAAATTTAGTTTCTTTTATTAATTACAGGAATAAAATATGTGGTCTTAGCTAACATTAGTAGCAAGATATCGATTTATTTATAGTGTATATACTTGATTGTTAGATGAGTCCAACTGCAAACCACACTGATCCAGATGTACCATCACATAATGTGCTTACAGATCTGGGTCTGTACAGTTTGTTTGGAGTAATTGGTAGAACAAGCAAGATGGACCCTAATCTGCACGTGCAGTATGCTAAGGTAGATCAAGATCTCTGTTGTTTGCAGTTTTTTGCAACTTATGAGTGAGTTTTATATGGTATATCTTTTGGCGGCAAATCCGATTTATAAATGAATAGACATTTAGTACTTATCTTACTTAGATGTCTTTCTATTGGTAATACATGTAATTGAAGTGCTATTAAAAATGATTTTAAAAGGACATCACCACAATAATTCCTCTAGTAATGTTAATATAAATTCTCTAGGATCATGCAAAGACGGGTAGAACTATATTGTAAAGATCAATTAGAGCCATCTCTTTACATTAAAAAAAAATGACCATGAATAACATGGAATTCCTTCTGATCTAATGTAAATTATTAACGGATTAACCATTCAGGCCAGGAATTAAGTTGGGTGAATGAAAATACTAGAAGCCCTATAGAGGAAACTATTTGAATAAGAGATGGACCAAATTGCTCAAATAAGAAGACTTTGAAAACATATTTGAGAAAATGGAGAGTTTTTTCCAGGTAGTGTAAGTGGAAAGGCATCTCCTTTGAAAGTCTTATTACAACCATTAGCTAACTTCCTCATTTAGATATTTGTGGAGAAGTTAACTCCCTTTACAATCAAGGGCTGCAATTCAACAATTTTGTACATGTTTTGACATCATGGTAATGAGAAAATAGACCAGAACAAAGACCTGTCTGACCTAATTGTGAACTTTGACTTATCATGATTGATGCCTTGAAAACTTTATTTATAATAGAATCTTCCATCTACTGTAACATAATTGAATAAGACAACCTTCAAACCATTGATCAGAGACTTGTGTCTCATACAGAATTTCCTGGTTGTGTAGCAGAGTGGGCAGAACCACAGAAATACTCGCCCATGTGAACTACATGTATTTCTGCCAGAATCATTTTAACTCATAATGCACCCTGCTTTTATTTGCAATGTGAAATCCGACTTTTGTATTGAAACCCAATTCATTCTTGGACTCTGCCGCAGGAACAGTACCCTATAAGGGTTCTAATGTGGAATCAAAAATTAACTGAGCTAGTCAGAAAAGGGAGATCTTACAAATGTTGCCATGTAAAGATGGATTTGTGATTTGTGTGATTTATATTTTTAACATAGCTTTAACAATTTTTAAGTCATATCGCTACGATGTCTGCAGTGTGGCAGTTTATAGTGATGTCTAGCACTGGGGCATCATGCCTCAGACATGTAGCATGATTCCCCAGCCAGTCATATAATACTGACACCAGGCCAACCAGTCCTAACACTAACCTCTTAATACTGAGTGCCAAGCGAGGCTGCTGTTATTACCATTTTTGTAAGTTTTGGTTATAACTCGGCCAAGGATCAAACCCACAACCTTCTGCATCCGAGTCAGATGCTCTAACCACTAGGCCACCAGAGCAGTCTTTGTAAAGATGGAAGGAATGATATTTCAACTCTGGCTATGTCTCCCTATATCCTCTCAGCTTGTAGTAAATTTACTAGAGCCCAGATAAAAGCATTGCATCTATTGGTTTATGAACCAAACTGTTCTCTGACTGACATCATCCAAGTCATGAGCTGGTATCAGAGAAAGTATTCATAAGTTCCTTTCTGGCTATCCCTCCTAAGTTATCCCCTTACTTACATCATATGCATCCACTCTAGTAGTAACTGATGAATTAATGGAAGTTGGCACCAATCCGGGTATGCAAGGAGAGTCTTACTCTACTACCTTGGCAAGTAGACACTTTAGCATTTCTTTTGTTAAAACAGCATGATAAATGGCTTTCCTAGAATGGGAGGGCTGCATTCCTGTGTACATGGATGTAATTTTAATGAAGTATCATTAGACAGGTTTTATCAAAGAAACATTTTACTGAATATTGGTTCTTGTGTCTTTTGCTTTCCTTTTCATTTGAGTACTGGAAATGGCTTCTTTAAATTTTAGTGATTTTATTTTTGTGGTAGACCAAAAGAGCTAATGGGATAGCCTGTTATCAGTCATCTGATGTCTGTCAATGCATTACTCCTCTTAAACTATTTTGTAAGATTACCATGAAATGTTACATGTACATCCATCTCAGCATATTATTGATCCTCAATAGTTCTGCTTGGACATTCAATATGGCTACCACCAAGGTCATCTTGAAAATCTTATCACTACTCCTGAATGGATGGTCATTTCAGCATGGAGATTTTCACTAAAATCTTCATATGATGCTAATTTGGTCCACAATGAAAATGGTACTGATGTCCAGTATGGCTGCCATGGTGACCATTTTGGAAATTTTGTAGTTGCTTTTCCTGCAGAACAGAAAGTCAAATCTGTGTGTTGTTTTCATCAGAAGATTTCTTATGATATCCATTTTGTCCCCAATAAAATGCTGCTAAATGGACATCCCATATGAACCCCAGTGTCCATCTTATAAATATTGTTACTGATACTCAATCTGAATAGTCATATCAACATCGGGTTTTCACTAAAAGACTTCTTATCAGCATGGGCTTGCATCTGAAGGTTTCATAGTGTGTCTAATTTTTGTTAAATAAAAGTTATTTTGATGTGTTATACATTATACCCACCACAATGACCGGCTTGAAAATTATATTACTACTCTTAAAATGGAAAGTCATAACAACATTGTGTTTTTACCAGAAGACTTCTTATGATGACATGGTTAGTACTAAATGAAAATTGAGCCTATCTGACATCCAGTATGGCCAGCATAACATGTATATTGAAAATCTTTTGCTGCTACTCTTGAATGGAATGTCATATTGAAATGGTGTTTTGACCAGAGTGCTAATTATTATAATTAGTTGGATGTCATATTGGCATGGTGTTTTGACAGAGGGCTAATTATTATAATTAGTTGGATGTCATATTGGCATGGTGTTTTGACCAGAGTGCTAATTATTATAATTAGTTGGATGTCATATTGGCATGGTGTTTTGACCAGAGTGCTAATTATTATAATTAGTTGGATGTCATATTGGAATGGTGTTTTGACCAGAGGGCTAATTATTATAATTAGTTGGATGTCATATTGGCATGGTGTTTTGACCAGAGGGCTAATTATGATAATTAGTTGGTCCTGAATGAAAATGATTCTGATCTAACCACCAATATGTGGTACCATAACGAACCTATTTAAAATCTTGTCACTAATTCTCCTGAATGAAGGCCATATCAACATGGAGTTTTTGCCAAGTCTTTTAACTGTGTCTAGTTTGTCTTAAAAGAAAATAGTGCTGATCATCGTACAACCAATATAGATCTAAAAGTGGTTAATTTAAAAATCCTGTTGGTCAGGTGTACCAGAGATGGTTTTAGCTCTCATCAGGTGAACATAAAAATGGTCTTATAAGTCATGGAAATTCTTTTTAAGACTGTCAAGTGTCAGGCCCTCCAAGGAATTCTTTTTTCATTTCGTCATATTAGTTGCAGACGTGTTAGCAAATTATGTGTACAATAGAGACTTTTAGTGATAATGATTTTATGTTAAAATAGCGATATGATTATATGCAACACTGTGTGAACACTAGCAACTGTAGTGATTGCTCATTTCCAACAAAAGTGAATTATCAAAACAAAATAACATGAAATCAAAACCTACAATAATGGAGGTTTAAAAAAGATAACATCTAACATGGTATTTATTTATTTTTTTTAAATCCAAGGACCATCTACTCACTTGGCAGCATAACATTGTGCTTATAGAACAGTAATTCATCTTCCATAAACTTCCATGTTAATGCTTAAGGAAAGAAAATATTTTGTACACTACACATGTATTTCTTCCCTTGAAGTTTTACAATTATCAGTTTTGAACCAGGAACGTTCAAACTAATTTTTGCCTGCTGGAAAAAAAATAGAAATTGTGCATGTACACAGACAAAATGTATGTAGAACTTGAAAGCACTGATGATGATTTTTTTTAAATTAAAAGAGAAATTATGTGCTGATATTAGAGCCAATCTCTTGTCCTCCAAGTATTTAGTGCAGAATATCCAATTTCTCCACCTTGAGAAATCTCTGATTTAATCTGATGCCTGCAACATTATGGATACCATTGTCCAACTCCAACTCTAGAATCTTTTTATGCCTTTATATTATGTTCCAAATCTTTAATCACACAACTTTGATACAAAGACATTTTTCACAAACTATAGTTTATATTTGTAAAAATTGTGTACTTGCTAACTAATTTTGACTTAGTTTTTTTAAGAGGTAGAAGAACTTCATAGAGGAAAAGAATTTCTAATTGAATAACTGGAAGAGGCGTCTTTTGGTATTGCAAATTGAAAAAGCCATTATTTTTATTTTGATTTATATGTAGATTACAACAAAAAAATTTATTTAGTGTTGCTCTCATTATATTTGAACCTGTATTGCATTATCCATGTAGAGTAGTTCTGCATGGTTTATACACAAAGCAAGATTAAATCAATTATTTTCATTGCCAATAATGTAAATTATTATAGAGCTGTACATATATATATATATATTAATTGTTGCCAAATATGAAAGTGTTTTAATATAGTGTAGAAAAATATTTGTCTGCTATTGTGTATTCAGATTGAGATTTATAAGTTTGTTTTATAAATATGGAATTTATGATGATGTGTATGTTTTAGAATGAATTGAAATGTGAAGTTGCATGTGAATGTAATTTATTTGATGAATTTTGTAACCTTGATGGCAGCTCTTTTATTAAACTGATATCGACTACCGATTTTAAAAACAAAAGGCATCTTGGATATCAAAAACACCTAAAACTTAGTCATTTCATTCATTGATTTATATTTTCTAACCTCATTGTTGCCAGGTTATCACAAATACTGTCAATTTGCTTGTGTTTCAAATCAAATGGGAGTTTCTTTAGTTACAGAGTCACCATATATGTATGGACAAGTCTGATTTCAAACAACAGATGTAGTTCACTGCTTTTGATAAACTCAGTTATTCTGTATATTTTGGAGTTACATCTTCATATACAAGAGTTCCTCCTTTCTATTTGCCCAGTTTGTTTTAGAATTAATAAAACTTGACACTGCAGATATTGGATGCAGACAACACAGTTTTGCTAAAACAGACTGTGCTAGAAACCAGAAAAGGACAGTGAACTGTCTTGTCTGCTTGTTTTCCATTTGCTTTGAAATGCCAATAAGTCAGCATTGTTAGGAACCTATTAGTGACAGTAAAGTTAAAAATTATATTTCAGTAAATAAAATGACAATATTGGTGAACTTTTCATTTTTAAATTTTGTGTTGGGGTGCAAATGAATGGTAGGGTGTATGAATACTGTTAGAGTTATTTGGATCCATTTCAGTTACACTTTGTGAGCTTATCAGATAAAATTCATTTTCATTAATTGCTGTCTTTCGGAATGTAACAAAAACCTAATTTTCAGTTATCTGTAGTTATCCCATGTTATTATTATTATCTCTTTCGTTGAATCAATGGTTAAATTTTGTTTCTCCAGTTTGAAAATATATTAAAAATTAAGAGATGTATTCAAGTTTGTGCTGTGTTAAACAGCTTGTAGTGTCTGATGACTGGAAAACATAAAAAAGTATTTACTACATTTGCACTCATTTACTGTTCACGGAGTCTGATTAAAAAGACATTTTAACAGGTTGTGGGATGTTTATTCGCACATTTGAGGAATTTGACATTGTAGGAAACAATTCACTGGAATTTTGTCATTTATCTACTTTTAATTGATGTTTGGGATTATTGGTTGAAAAATCATATATTTGTAAATGTGCTTAACCCATTTATTTAATCTCAGTATTTTCCCAGAAATTGTTGCATTTTTCTCTTCAAATTCCAAGTCACATATTTTTGATCCAGCATTCTTTTCTGTATTTGTACAGTGTTTGTAAAAATAAAAAAAAAATAACAAGTGGACACAGTAGTAATACCACTAAAAGTAGTTTTATATTGTATCAATCATTCTGACCTTATTTTTCAGATTTTTTATTTATTTTCACAGTAAAATTTATTGATTTTTCCTTTTATCATTCATCTATGGTATCCATTTCATGTTAGGTCAGTTTGTAAGTTCTTTTCTTATCAATTTTTATACAAACATGACTACACTGACAAGTCTTTTATGGCTTGATTGGATTTCAAATATATATATATATAGAACTTCAATTATCCGTCAACCGATAAACTGTCAGTCTCTTTTAACCATCAGGGCATTGTACGTCAAAATATTAAAAACAGGTACATTTACATATGTAGACATTATAAAGTTTTGATGATCCAGTCTATTGAATAATACTTTTAATGTACATATTCAATTATCTATTTATTCTCATATCTGTCATGGTCTCAGTCCCACAACCTGATGGATAACAAGCGCTGCTTTAGATATATAAATGTGTGTGTGTGTGTGTGTGGTATCCATTCTC